GAGAGGACATTGACAATCCCCCCCCCCCCCCCCCCCCCCTTCCCACTGCAGGCTGTGTGACGCATGGGCCATGCTGTTGGGCTGTTGATCCGGTCCCATGTGCCTTGCCATGCCCGTCAGCTATCAAGAGCTGCTAAATTTGAGGCATATGCCAAGTTGGGCGGTGGCGACGACCACCCGTCGCTCGCCGCCCCTCCGCCAATTCACACCGCAGAGTCGACGTTGGGCGCCCAGGTCGACCGGGAGGCATGGAGTTCCTGTTCAAGATCCTGTTTGTAGGCGAAGCAGGCGTAGGTACGTCATGCATACACCCGCCACCGAGGATGTTCCTCCTCTTACCTTGGCTTGTGTCCCCCCCTCCTGTCCGCTGCTACCCTCTCTCGGCCCTTGCCGGTGTCCGCCGCCCCATGCCCTTCGCGACGACGATGGCCTCGCGCGTGTGACGTGCACGGCTCGCTCGACGGAGCGATGCGCGCGGGGCCCCGTCGTGCTCCGGACGGCACCGGACTGCTTCCCGGTCCCGTGCTCGGTGTGGGCATGGAAGACGTCCGGGGGTGGTGGGGCGGGGCCAGGCAGGCGGTGTGTGGAGCGCGGACGAGGGCGGCTTGTGCGGGTGGTGGCTTCCTTTTTGGCGGTGGCAGGGGCGGCGAGGCGCAAGTGCGGGGCAGGGAGGTGATGGAGAGGGCATGGCTCACGGAGAGAGGGGCGCGGGGCTGTGGGGCGCGGACGGGAGAGTAGGCAAGACTGCGCTCATCCGGCGGTACGTGGACAATGTGTTCTCGTACAAGTACCGGTACACGATTGGGGTGGACTTTGCGCTCAAGGTGGTTGACCTCGACGAGAAGACGACGGTGCGGCTGCAGCTGTGGGACATTGCCGGGCAGGAGCGGTTCGGAGTCATGACAAGGGTGTACTACAAAGAGTCTGCAGCGTGCGTCATCGCCTTTGATATAACAGAGCGGAGAACGTTCGAGGCGGCCAAAAAGTGGAAGGCCGACCTCGACTCCAAGGTCCATCTGCCCAACGGCGACCCCGTCCCGTGTATCCTCGTCGCCAACAAGTGCGATCTCGAGCCGCGCCCGGTTCCACGCGAAGAGATTGATCAGTTTGTTCGCGACAACGGGTTTGTGGACTGGTTCGAGACCTCAGCCAAGGACGCAATCAACGTCGACAAGGCTATGAAGTTCCTCATCTACAAGGTTCTCAACTCCAATCCGGGCATCTCGGTCGAGGACGACGAGGCTTTTCGCCTCGACGACGAGGGCTCGCTGGCCGGTGCCTCGTCGTCGGGCTCTTCGTCCAAGAAAAAGTGTTGCTAGCTGGCGCACACAAGAGTCGCATTGAACACACAACCCCCCACACACCTTACCAACCTTCTTTGCCTACTCGTTTCCTGTCGGCTGCTCGAGGAGCTCCTTGACCTCGTCGAACCGCGCGCCGTAGTCGAGCGCCGTCCGCCCCATCTGCGACTTGACGCCCCTGTCGGCGCCGGCCGAGAGCAGGAGTTCCACCACTGGCGCGTGCCCGGCCAGCGCCGCCATGAACAGCGGCGTCCACCCCGCGTGCGTCGTGCAGTTGACGTCGAGCGAAGGATACCACGCCGAGCTCGTGTCCAGAAAGACGGCGACGGTGAGCTGCGAGCGCCCGGCGGCGAGGTGCAGTGCGGTGAGGCCGTCGAGGTCGATGGCGTTCGGGTCGGCTCCAGCCTCGAGGAGGAGCCGAACCACGTCGTCAAACCCGTGGTAGGCCGCAACGTGAAGCGGGGTGAAGCCGTTGAGGGCTGCGGCAGAGACTCGCGCGCCGATGACCAGCAGCTGGTGGACAATGTCGGGCGAGCCCGACCGCGCCGCTGCATGGAGCGCAGTCAGTCCGGTGGTAGCGTCGGCCCGGTTCACCGCCCCGCGCAAGATCTCACCCATCGAGTGGCTGGTCTCGGAGACAGTGCCCTGCGCCTGTGCCGCCGCGTCAAGCGCCGTGTGCATCCGCCGCAGCACTGCCTGTACAGCCTCCACCTCGCCTAGCTGGCAAGTCTCGCGGAGCTCGGCGACCTGCTCCTCTGGCACCTCGAGCACAACTTGCTCGGGCTCCGCCAGTGCTGCTGCAGCCGCAGCCGCGGCCTCGGCCGCCAGCCTCTCGGTCTCTTCCTTCTCAGCCACAGTGATGATAGAGAAGACGTCCTTGGCGACTTCCATCGCCCGCTCGGTGTTCGACTTGCGCAGCGTCGACGACGGCGAGCCAGCCAACAAAGCCTGTCCGTCGCCGGCGTCGGAGGCCGCGTCGGAGGCCGGCTGCGACTCGGGCTCGGCATCCGACTCGAGCCCGGATTCTGGTGCCGGCACGGGGCCGGGCGCGGGCTCGGGCGCGGCGTACGACTCGGCCTCGATGCCGGCGAGCGCGAGATGGACGGTCTCTTGGTAGAGAGTGTCGAGAAAGAGCGCGCACGGCGCAGTGGGATCGGTCTCCTGTGGCGAGCCGCGGTAGTGGTCGGCCCAGTACACAACGTTGTACGCCCAATCGACAACGAGCCGCGGCTCGCGCACAAACTTCTTGGCCAGGTACGAGCCGAAGAACCTGGTCATGGACATCTCGCGCTTGGCGCTCTTCTCAAAGTGCGCCTTTTGCAGAAAGAGCGCCTTGATGAGGGTGGAAACGACCTCGTAGTCGAGCTCCTTGTTGTAGATCTTCTCCTCCGAGGTGCGAAGAAAGTCCGGCACGGCACCGTACGGCTCGCCGGTGGGACCCTTGGAGACCAGATAGCACTCGGGGCCAACGCCCTCGAGGCGAATGTTAAGGTCCGAGACCTTGTAGCCGCATGACGCTAGGTTGGCCATAAACGTCGCCAGCTTGGACAGCTTCTTGCCCTCGCCGTCGTCGTCGTCGTCGGCGGCATCGGCGAGGTAGTCGAGCTCGGCCTGGGCGCCTGCACGCGATGCGGCAGTGTGGTAGGTGTAGCAGGCGTGGAAGAAGTTGTACAGCGCATAAACCCGCGCCTCGCCCGATCCAACAAGCGCCTCGACGTAAGTGGAGAGCGCCTCGGAGATGTCTGCGCAGCCTAGTTTGACAAAGCGGTTGAAGACATCGGTGATGACAGCGTCGAGAGCGCGGCGCGAGACGTGTTGGTACGGCACATCGCGGTCCCAGCGGAGAAGGAACGGGACCGACGAGCCCTTGCCCTTGGCCTTGAGCCTACGATGGTTGTACACGTCCGACGAGACGAGGACCGAGGCTGGGACTGAGGCCGGCAGCTCCTTGCCCTTGTCCTTCTTGCGCCTGCCATTGCCCTTGCCCTTGCCCTTGCCCTTGACCTTCTTTGCCGGCATGCTTGCCACCACAGAGACAGTGGTGTGTATGCGGTGTGTGGTTCGAGGCGAACGTCGACGGCCGTGGAGGGCAGTGGTGGTGGTTGAATGGTCTCTGTCTCGTGTCGGTTGCCCGTCGCCAGCCACCGCAGCGACTGCGGAACTGGCGAGGCAACTGGGTCAGGGGCAGTATGGATGGATGACAGGCCATGGGGCCATACATAGCTACACTCCACACAGACAAACACACACACACACTCTCACACACACACACACTCACACACTCACACGCTCACTCACTTGTACGCCTGCCCATGTGGAGTAGCCCACACCCTGCCTGGGCTTGGCAACAGTGGGTCCGTCCACCGCCCGCTTCGCCTGCTCACGGGCACACGTTCTGGCACTTGCCGCGCCCGCACCAGCCGGTCATGCCCGCAACGCGTGACACCCATGGCCATGGCCACTCGACGATGGAGCCAATGCCTTCACCTGTCGATCTGGTGGAAGCAGTGCTGGATCGCCCGCCGATGAACGGCCTGGCGTCGCAGACGGCAGCGGCGGCGGCCGAGGCCGCAGAAGCCGCAGACGCGGCCACAGCCGCTCTGGCGGCCACAGCTGCGTCGTTTGGTCCGCCGCCGCCAGAGACGATGGCAGACCTTGTGGCATAGCCAGTGGCGGAGGCGATTGGCGGCAGTATTCGCACCGAACGTCGCTCGTCTGACTCCTCGACTGCGGCGCCTGCGTGGTTGGACGAGGAGATCAGAGTGCGGGCTGAGGCGGTGCTGACGGCGCGCGAGCCAGACCATCCGATTGCTGTCTTGGTGGAGGCACTGGTGGCGGCATGGAACGAGGTCGATGTTGGTCATCCGGCGAAGGCTCTGGCCCGCACGGCGCTGGCATCGACACTGGCGGCTGAAGACAAGCTGGGCGCGGCAGCAGCTGCGGCCACCTCCAGTGGAGATCTGGTCGACAACGAAAGACTAGACGACCAGCTGGCAGTGGCACGCCAAGCATACGCCGGCGCGGTAGCGTTCGAGGTTGAGCGCGAAGCGTGCGACTGGTCGAGGGAGCTCGCCAATCAGGAGGCCCATGTCTACGCCGCCGTTGCCGAGGCGCGGCGCGGGCTGGTAGACGGGCTGGGGCCTTTGATGCGCGAGGTCGACGGCGCACGGGCGGTGCGCAAGTCGCTGCGTCCGGTGCTCCGCCGCATGCACTCGGCGAGCTCGGCTACCCAAGCCCAGGCCGAAGTGGCCTCGCGGAGCTCGCAGGCAAGCCGCGCGGACAGCCTGGCGAACGCACTATTGTCGGCTCGGGCAGCCGAGTCGCGCCGGACAGAGGCGCTGGAGGCCGAGGCTGCGATAGCCCAGGCGTCGATTGCAGCGCTTGTGGCGCAGCTACACCAGCTCCAAGTCGACATCCACGCATCGCAGGCGCGGTCGGCGGTGCTGGAAGCGGCGCACGCCGCTGTGGCGCGCGAGCTCAGGGCCGGCAGCGCAAGCCAAGATGGCACTGGCAGTGTAGCGCTGTCGGCTGTGCAGGCAGCATCGCTCCGGATAGCGAGCGAGAACGCGCTGGTGGCGCTGCGGTCGGCGACGGCAGTGGGTGTCGACGACGCCGCCGCCGAAGGCCTCTATCTTGTGGCGCTCCTGCTTGCGCGGTCTTACCTTCAGGTCTCGATGACCATCTTTGCGGCCGAAGCGCGAGTCCAGATGGTGGGTCAGGAGCAGGAGGCTCTGCGCGTCCGCAAGCAGCGGGCCAACCTGGCGCAGGATGTGGCGACGCTGGAGAGGTGCTCATCGAGTAACGCCAAGCTCCAGCGGATCATTGGCGAGCTGTCTTCCAAGATCCTGTCGCTGGAGCGCGAGCGCGAGCACCTGTTTGCGCAGTACATCGAGGCGCGTAAGCGCATTGAGGCGCTGGGGCCGTGCGGCCAGCGGCTCCTCGTCGAGCTTGACACCGAGTGGGCCGACATTCTCGACAAGCTGCGTGCGCTCGAGGCCGAGCAGCATGCGCAGATCGAGCTCGACGACGTGCTCAACGCGACAGCGCTCTCGGGCACTTCGCCAGCGGTCTCGCCGCGGGGGAGATAAAGATGCTCATTTACTCGGCTGGAGCCGGTGCACTCGATGCACCTTATGCCTTGGGCGGAGCGCGGACGATACAGACCGGAATGGAGGCGTGGCGGACGCAGTAGTCGGAGACCGAGCCGAGGAGCTTGGACTTGATCTTGCCCAGCCCGCGCGAGCCCATGACCATCATGTGGTACGTGCCAGACTCGGCGACGGCACACAGCTCCTTTGCCGGCGCATCCGAGTGGCGCTCGACATGCTCGACGTCGATGTTGGCCTCGCACAGCTGGAGGACGTAGTGATGGACGAGCGACTGGAGCTCTTCGGGCGCAGCGTCGTCAGCAGTGACCGTCACCACATGGACAGAATCCACGCCCGGGCGGGTCATCCCGAGCAGGTACGTCAGCGCCTACATGCCATCATACGGGTGGATGGGGTGAGTAGCGGTGGGAGGAGGAGGCATGCGCCCCGCCGCGTGCCAAGTGCTTAAAGTCCGTGTGACGTACCCTCTTGGACGGCTCGGAGCCATCTGCAGCAAACAGGTAGGTCTTGGGTGTCTCCCAGGTAGTATCAGTAGCCATTGTGCTGGGGGTGTGGAGTGTAGCTGCGAAGAGAGAGAAGTAGCCTACTCCCACTCTCCCCCGTCCGGCTTCTCGCTTAACTAACTGCCACGCTGCAGCAGTGGCTGCACCCCAGTCTTACCAACTGTGACTGCCCAAATTGAGGACTGCACTTCGCCCACCGCTCACCGCTCACCGCTCACCGCCCACCGCTCACCGCCCACCGCCCACCGCTCACCGCCCACCGCTCACCGCCCCACCTGCCACTCCCGCACACCCACACCGCATACCACTCCACCACCACCACCACCCCCACCCCACCACCGTCTACCGCTTT